AAATTTGATTATATTAAATTAAAAAGCTTCTGTACAAAAAAACAACAGAGTGAAGAGACATACTATAGAATGGAAAAAATTTCGCAAGGTACTCCTTGTACAGAGAAGTAATATCTAGAATATATAAAGAACTCAAAAAAATCAGGCCCCTGAAAAACAAAACTATCAAAATGGGCAATTGAAATGAATAAATTTTTTCAAAGAAGTACAAATGGCCACTAAGTACATGAAAAAGTGTTCAGTGTCTTTGATCGTTACAGAAATGCAAATTAAAACAACACTGAGAGATTCCATCCCACTGTATTGAGAATGGCTAGTTTTAAAGATTCAGAAACAATAAGTTCTGGAAAGGCTGTAGAGAAAAGACACCCTCCTACATTGTTGGCATAAATGTAAACTAATATAAACATTAGGGAAATAAGTATGGAGATTCCTCAAAAAATTAAAATAGAAATTCCATTTGACCCAGCTATCTCTTTTCTGTGTAGCTTCCCAAAAGTTAGAGTCATCTTATAATAGTGATACACATTGATAACAGCAAACTCACAATAGCTAAATTATGTCAGTAACTTAACTGCCCCTAAAAAGATGAATGGATATGGGCTGGCGATTCAGCTCAGGGGTGATGCACCTGCCTTGCAAGCCCAAGGTCCTGAGTTTAATCCCCAGTACCCCCCAAAAAAGAAAGATGAATGGATAAAGAGACTGTTGCAAAAATACATGAGGGAGTACTATGCAGCCCTAAATTTGAGTCATTTTCAGGAAAATGGATGGATCTTGAGACCATAATACTATGTGAAATAAATCAAACACAGGTTAAATATCATATGGTTTCTCTAATATAAGAAATTCAAAGCATAAATAATTTAAAGAGAAAATTTTTGGTAAGAGATAGGGAGGTAGACTCTTGAGATGGGAAAGGGATCTAGGGAAATGAGGGAAAGGGGAGTGAAAGGAGAGGAAAGGGAGTAAAAGTCCAAGATGTGACTTGTGCATGCACCGCCAATCTCCCAAGATGAATGTAATTATTGTGTATCACAAACATACACAGAAGAAAGGGGGAGGGGGAGGAGAGGGAGGAGAAGAAGGAGAAGGAGAAGGAGTAGGGGAGCAGGAGCGGGGAGGGGAAGGAGAGGAGGAGGAGGAGGAAAAGGAGGAAACATCCAAGGGCCTTAACTAGAAGTAGAAAAAAGAAGTGGTGGTTTTGATGATTTTGGATCCTGGGTGCCTGCCTTCTAGTCATATGATAGAGGGCATAAGAAAGTATGAAAATTTGAATTTAGAGCACACACCCCCCACACCCAAAGAAAATGCGATGGGAGACAAGTCAATTGAAATTAAGCTTGTGATATTTTCCTTCCATAAGAAAAGGAAGTAAACTCTTCCACCCAAGGGCAATTGAACCAAATTTGAACTTCCTGAAAATTTATCAGTTGATAAAGCAGGATTTAAATTCAAGGACACATTCCTATGCCTAATCTTCATTTTACAACTTTTGGAGATAAATTTTCCTTAGCACTAAAATCTTGCAAAGATAGACTCTCTTGAAAAATAAATTGTTAGAAGTGTGCAACAAATTGGCCAGATGCCTCTGATATGTAAACAGTTACTTAAAAGTAAGGTAAGAACTTTTAGAAACTATCTCATACTTTCAGAGCAAGCTTCAATTTTCGATGTAGTGCTTGAAACAGTAATGTTCAAAGTATTTCTTCTGTTACCGTGGGGGTTAATTGGCTTCTCAAAAATGCTTCTCTTCTCGCAGAATATAGTTTATATTTAGGGGAAATTTGGCACAGTTTAAATTACAGCTCAACTGATTTGTTCAGAGGAATCCAACAAGTCATTTCCTCTGCCTATTTGTCCTTAAATTTTTATTAGTAGACACAGACACAAAATTTCAAGCGAAAACCCATTACTGATATGCTTTCCTCAAGATCCCTAAACAACAGCCTTCTTCACAACTTATACCCAAACTTGTAGCCATCCCTTATAGAATTTTACAAACATCTCAGAACTCATTATCAACCCTCCAGCCCTTCCCAGCTGAAATGTTTCACTGCAGAATAATGGGACATGGCACTTAATTTTTGCTTTTAGTGTTGTAAAGAAAAATAATTGCTAAGCATAAAATTAACCTTGTGGTGTAAAACTAGTTTCCAAAAATTGCTATTTTTAAATTTCTGATATAAACTATATAGACAGCAGCAACCTACTCAGTGGTACATGACTGTGATGCTCATTATCCCCAAAATGGCCTAACTAGCCCACATTCTAGGGTGTGACAGAGAAATCAAACCCCAAAACAGAAAAAAAAAATGACTCCAAGAAGCAAAGTCTCCACAGCTTACTATCCTGGTAGAAGTAAGGCCATCATGTAGATTTTTAATTATCATCCTATTCCAGAACCCAAATATAAAAGCTATTTGTGAGAATTTTCCAGACATCTCAGTAGCTATATGTATGTCCGTGTACATACACACACACATTTCACAAAGTTAAATGCTGGCCAATGCTCATTTTCACACAGCTCTTCAGTTTAAAAATAACTTCAACATTTGTGTCTTACCAAAATTGAGAAAAAGTGAGGAAAAGTTAAAGAAAATTAGTTTGGGGATCAGAAGGAAAAATTTTTTTAACAGATCCACTGAATATCCTTTTAATGCTGCCTTGGATCTCAGATTAAATTTTTATACTTTCTGAGTTGTAGTACTGGGTCATTTGTGCTTGAAGACAAAGGCAACTTCAACTTGATATTTCTGTCATCCCTGCTGTGGGAAGAGTCCTGTCCTTGGTTTATAACATCAATCACTCTTGCAATAAATCTTGGTAGTGGATATGGTCATTTAAATCTCCACCTGCACAAACAACAGAAAATAAGAGCTCATAAATCTCTATGCTGGTGATTAACAAATTTTGGACCCTCGGCAAAGATATTGGGGGTGGGAGTTCACTAATTCATTAATAAAGACTGATTTGCTGACAATCTGTTTAGTTTACAGTATAAGGGGAAAGCAAACAAGACCCTGCTAACAAAACAAAACGTTAGAGGTTAGTGAATTCCCAGCTGAGCCCGGGATTAGAGATATGATATCTTAATGTGGCACAGGGGTTCAGACTCTGAGCCAAACTCTCAGAAGCAGCTCTTATATTTTACTCCACCCCTCACACTCGCTCAGTGCCTAATTGTAAGGAAACAAAGCCTGGTGGAGAATTAGCAAAAACGATTCATGTATTTAGTCTCCTTAGTTTCATAGCGTCCCTTTCTGTCAGTCCCTGGGTTCCAGTTCTCTCTGACTGTCTACTTACTTTCCAGAAGACTTTCTTACATTCCAAGAAAGATGTCCCCAACTGGGACTGAGGATATAATTCCTAAAGATATAATCCTGCTTTGTGTGTTACAGTGTCAGCTTTTCCATGAACCCTGGAAACAAAGAGGACACAGGAGAAAAAGAAGGGAGCAGCAGTGGGAAGAAGTTTGCATCACAGACCTCAGGTGGAGTGGCACATGACCACAACCAAGACTCTTAAGATCAGAGGAAATGGATTTGGGCAAAGAGCTGCAAGGGAAGTTTTCATTTCAGTATAAATAAAGATAAATTTGAGTCATTTGTGGAAAATGGATGCACCTTGAGACTATAATGCTGAGTGAAATAAGGGAGATGCAGAAAGTTAAACATTGTATGGTTTCTCTTATATGAGAACCCCAAAGCACAAATAATTTAAAGAGCAAAACAAAAGAGAAATAATAGGAAAGGAGACTTTGTAGAGATGGGAAAGGGAACTGGTGCTTGGGGGGAGGGAGAGTAAAAAGGATCAAGAGACAATATGTATATGTACCAATTGCATATGATGAATTTGTATGTGATGCAAACTTATACTAATAAAAAACAATAAATGTGTAAAACAACTTTAGGAGGTCTAAGAAAAAAGAAAAGGTTATCCATCAATAAAATACTTTCCATACATTCACATTATTTTATCTCATTCCTTACCACCCAAACTAGACTGGGTGTGGTTGTGGACAGGTGTGTGATGGTTCAAATGTGTTTGTGTACACACTGGATGTTCCTTGATATCTTTAAAATGACCAAATGCAAATGGATTTTTTTCATACTTTTTCCACCATGGTCATCAAGTTTTATGAGCACTTGTTTCCTTAATTTGCCACAGGTAAAGTGGGATGGTTAGCTTAGTAAAACCCTGAAATCGTGTACAGCATTAGCAGAAGGCAGTTGAGGCCCATCTGGATTTTAATTGGCGGTTCCTCACAAAAGGGAGGGGAGTGGAGGGTTTGTGGGTTGTGTTGGATGGAAGGCCTTAAAGAGCAAAGCATCTGGACGTTTTCCTTCAGCTCTCAGTAATAACCTCTGGGACCTCTTCAGAGGAAAAGTAGGGCTGAGGAAATAGCAGGGGAAATAGGACTTGCTCCTCCTTGCCCCGGGCAGAGGGGAAGAAGGAGTTTTGAGTGCATTGCAACTGGGTCGATTTACATTACAAGCTGCAAGCCTTGGTCTGTGCCAGAGTGTCTCCTCTGCTTGTGAGGGTCTGAGAGCTCGGCTGGGCCCGCAGGCCCCTCCCCTGGACTGCGAGGATCCGCCTCTCTATTCCCCAGATAAATTCCTAGTGTCCACCAAATTCCTCAGCGCTCTCTCACACTCCTCTACGGCCACGACTCTGGGGGTGGGGAAACAGAGCGCCGGTTGGTTTCCTTCCCGAAGAAGCCCTTGCTGGTTGCTTTCCACAGCTTTGCGAAGGGGAAGGGGTGAGATCCCCCACCCCAAGTGCAACTCCCAACAAGAAGTGGCTGCTCCGTACCTCCTGCCCAAAGTGCACACTTGGGAGGCCCATTTCTCTCTCTCTCTCTCTCTCTCTCTCTCTCTC